ATGGCAGGTCGGGGTCCCAGGGCAAGACTTCCTTTCCATGCTTAGTTTTATCCTCGTTCTTACGTGGGGTGTTGTTGTTTTTTCCACTCATTTCTCTTTCTGGGAAAGGATGGGGAAAAACCCTGACGGGTCATCCAGTGGTCTGCTTACTATGAACCATACTTTGTAGTTTTCACAGGTGGGAGGGTTCCTGTTTCTTTCCAGTACCAATACTGTGCCGGAATGGGGAGGAGACTTAAAAGAATTGGCCTCTGAGGAAGGGAGGTTATTCGGAAGGATAACCAAATCAAGGTGCCCCCCCCCACCACCACCACCAGCATTGGAAGACCCAGAGGCTCAGTGAGAATTTCTTTTTCTGAGCAAATGCAGAATGCTGGGGTGCTACAGCTTCTGGCTCGGGGTCGGCCGAGTCAGTGGGTTCAACCTCATTGTGACACTGCATTAGCTCTTGGTAGGTCTCCTTAGTATGATTGTGACCAAGAACAGAATCCCTCTGACTTGCAGGGCCATGGGCTCCAGGACGGCTGTGGAAGGCAGTTTCTTTGTTGAAGTGGAAAAGGGCAGTGTTCCCCCAGGGATGGAAAGCAAGTCTTACCCTTTGCAGCATTTTTAGCCTCAGTAACTTTTTTTTTTAAGGTTTTGTGCAGGAACAAGTTAGAATCCACTTCCAGAAAGTTCTCTTGTCTTCCATGGCTGCTTGGCCAGGTCATCTCTGTCTCCAATGTTGTGCTGGACACGGGGGGGGGGCTGGAAGCGAGTGTCAGTGGTCCAGGCGATGGTCAGTTGGGCCAAGAACCAGCCCTCGGCCCTTCTGGAGTCTAGAGGAAGTTCTCAGCGTAGCTTGAGAGGTTTTTTTTGTCCCTTATAAAGCAGGCCGTGGCCCGCAAAAGCACATCCCTCAAAAACAGTTTGTCTCTGAGGTGCCCTTACCCTTCCTGCTGCTAGAGACGGACTCTGCTGCTCTTCTGGGATCTCTGCGTGCACAGGGGGAAAACGGTGGGAAGCCCTAGACGTCAAGTACGGAGGGAGGTCCATCCTCCTCAGAGGAAATCCCATGGCTGATGCCCTCTTGCCCCCTTTGGAAATTGGCAGAGTTTTAGATCGGGGTGAGGCTTGGCCCTTCGCCCGCTCCGTTGGGCAGAGCGGATCCCGAATTAGTCAAGAAAACAGAACACCTCATTGATGTGAATAAACGTTTACTAAAACACTGTACTTTGTATATTTTTACAAAGCTGTTTCTACATGGGGGTCTTTTAGGGATATTTTATAAGAAATCTGAGTGCCTGAGTGAAACAATTTGTCTGTCTTGTTAAAACATGAATTTCTTAGCTGAGTATCCACTGAAGGGAGACAAGAGGGTTGTGTTTGTGTGAAACAGGAAAAGCAAAGTGTACTGTATTCTTTTATTCCCCTGTATTTTCTGCTCACCCAATCGGAAGCAGATCATTCATAGACGTTAAGTCGTGTTTATTCATAAATGTGTTAAATGTGTATTATGACCTCAGTTACACCTTCTTGTTCGTAGAAATGTGTGCTTTTTGCAATATCCTCCTTTCCTTATTCATGTCTTATGCTTTTACTCTTTGTAGCTCATTTTCCACATGAAGTATCCTTTTCAATACCAGTTAGGTTTAATTTACACTTACGACAAAAATTTCCCACCCCACCTACTCCTTAAAAATTATCCATTGACCTGTCTGTGTGTGTGTGTGTGTGTATGTATGTGTGGTTTTGTCTTGGGGGTTTATTTGTTTTTTAAATGCTGATTCAATAAACGTCCTGTCACAGAGTCTGATTGGCTTGTTATTGTTCCTGGTAGGATCTTACGGGCTTCTGGTAGCTGAGCCAAGAGCTGGACAGAAGAGAACGTGGTGGGGAAGGTCGCCTCCAAAGGGAGGTCGTAGCTACTCTGCAGGTCGCCTCCCTCGTGTGCCTGCGTAGCTCCTAAATCTAAAACAACAAGGGACACCTTTCATTTCCTTTGCAAGACTCGGCGCGAGACGCCAAGGGTGCTCTTCAGCTGTTAAAACAGTGAGACATTCAAGGCAGGAAAGGGAACATTTTGTTCCCATTCAGAAATGAGTATACCGAGGGTACTTCTTTTTTCTTCACTTGTTTTCCAACATTTGGGGCCACTGCATGATTTGAGTTTTTGTAAACCAAGAGGTCCACTCAAAGACAAACGTTGGATTCCTGGGTTGGTCTAAGGAGGTATTTATTCCCTGCGGATTCAGTCTCCCTACTCTTCAGGAAAGGCGGAGATTGTGAAATAATAATAGTAGTAATAATAATCTTTGAAAACAGAGCCTTTGTCCAGGGTTAGTGACCAGAGGTTCCTCCTCTCTTGACTTCCTTGCTTTACTTTTGGGATTAAGGTCTTTGCTCTCCTTTTCTTATCTTTCATCCTCTTCTGCTACGCTAGGTTTTCGGTTTCTCCAGGGCTTCCCAGTTGTCTTCCAAACCTTCTCATTTTCCTCAGGCAAAACAAAATGAGCCTTCTCGTATCTTCCCACTCCGTTTTCACAGTGCTTTCCATGGGACGGGGAGAGGCGGGCTCGGGCCGCTAGTTTTTAGAAGAGAAACCACTGAGTAGGAGTGGACACGTTGGGGTGAAGCAGAGTTGAGCCCCCTTCCAGACTCTGTCAAAGGAACGGAGCCCGGAGTTTCATTGAAGACACCAAAGCCATGGGGAGAGGGTATCCCGCAAAGATGCTGCCAGCAAACTCCAGCACCACCGGCCCTTGCACCGCAAGCTGCCCTCTCTGTTGGCGTGAGTCTTGTCACGCTGTCTCGTCCATAACAGCCCAGCACATTTGGGGAAGTCAATGGCAGACCTTCTCAACTGCCAACCACTAGACCCCGCTGACTGGCCCTCTGCCTTTCTGGCCTTGCAGACTTCCACAAACAGACCAATTCACCTTCATTGTGATTGACCTTCATGGTCAATCACAAACGTACACAGATCTCTACCGACCACAGTGTCCATGGTTTTCAGAAATCCGCGAACACTACCTGTCGTTTCCACCGGAGACTTGAGTGCTTACTTTCTCCAAATCCCTACATCCACCTGACGTAAGACGGGCTGTGCCTAACTCCCTGAATGCAAAAAGAAATGAAAAGCTCTCTCTAGTTTTAGGCCCTCTGTACCAGATTTCAGCAGCTTTCTCTCTTCCAGGAAAGGTTCCACGGTGCACTTCTCTGAGGCTGTCTAGTTGCTGAGCAACACAGACATCATCCAAGGCTAGTTTTGAGAATTGCCACCCACTCGGCCTTGCTAGCCATGGTGCAGAAGCTTCAGTGTATGAGATTTACCTTAGGACACACTAGTTAGGTTGCGTAAAGCCTGTATCTTCCAGGAAAGGTTCCACGGTGCACTTCTGTGAGGCTGTCTAGTTGCTGAGCAACACAAACTTCATCCAAGGCTAGTTTTGAGAATTGTCACCCACTAGGCTTTGTTAGCCTGCATAAAGCCTGTATCTTTATTTTATTTAGAAGATTTTTAGCTGTGCCATTACCAGTGGTCTCTGAGTGGTGTACAACGATATTAAAAACTTTAAAGCCATTAAAAATAGGCACTATAATAATATTAGGCCCCCTGTACCAGATTTCAGCAGCTTTCTCTCTTCCAGGAAAGGTTCCACGGTGCACTTCTGTGAGGCTGTCTAGTTGCTGAGCAACACAAACTTCATCCAAGGCTAGTTTTGAGAATTGTCACCCACTAGGCTTTGTTAGCCTGCATAAAGCCTGTATCTTTATTTTATTTAGAAATTTTTTAGCTGTGCCATTACCAGTGGTTGTGGCATACTGTGATATTAAAAACTTTAAAGCCATTAAAAATAGGCACTATTAAAACATTAATATTAATAAATCCTGCTGCTCACATGGCCCTCTTCCTCACTCCTTAGACCCAGCATCTCTTAAAGCCACCCAGCAATCATCGCTCCATCCAGAAGTGCTACCACAGCTTTGGCTGCACTCAGTATTTTAAGTTCTGGGGGTCAGCCACGGGCAGAGCAGCTCCCTGATTCCGTCCGAGTTTGTTCATTACAGTTAAAGGTACAGTGCGTGCCTCCTCCATCAGAAGGTCCCACATTCAGTTTTTTTTTTTCTCTTGATTTGGGCTGAGCATATTGATTGCTCCCTGGTGAACTGTTTTCATTGATCACAGCCCATTATGGATGCTTCTTCATACCAACTTGAGAGTGGGACATAGTCTGCTTACGGCGAAGGTTTCCCGCTGGGTAGGCGTGATGGAGGCAGCCAAGCCACAGCCCTTCCTGTGTGCTGCAGAATCACCGCTGGTCTCTCCCTGGCATCCATGAAGACCAAACTCTGCATTGAATGCTGCTACAGATCCTTCTGAGAGGAAGGTTGCTTTCTGCTTGAAGCTTCTTCTTTTATTCCGCCCTTCCTCCTTTTTTGGGTCCCGTCAGTATACGGCTTGCCTCAAGTGACAAGCTGGACTCTATCTTAAGCCTAGCCACGGAAGGAAGAGGGGGGGACCTTGGGTCACTCTCCATGGCTCACCAGCTTTCCACCCAGTTCCCTGTCTTTCCTTAACAGTGGTGAGACTTCCACCATTCGTGGATGCATCTTTTACACTAGGCCAGAAAGAGCCTTCCTGTTGAAGTGGCCAGTGTCACCTGAAAGCTCACGCTGAGAGCCACCACTGATTTAGGTTTGCAAGCGGAGACTGTTAAACCCAGCATTGACTGAATGCAACCAGTTCAGGATCTCGGGATCACAGAAGGGCCTTTTCTGTCTCTTCCAACCGAGATCCTTTTCAGAGGGAAGGGTGACATAACATGGAAAACAGGGCATTCTGCTTCCAAGCACCGCAGAGCTGTGTCCTCCCCCCACCCCTGATTGCATTCCATGTCAGCATGCACAAAACCACAGTGTTCATTTGATGTTTTGAGTTTCCTTTTTTTTCCTCTTTTCAGTTTTCATCCCTTTATTTTTCTTTTATGTCTTTTATGTGTGTATGTTTTCCCATGTAGGAGCGATTATGTTTGCCTCCGCATATTTTAGAAGAGACAGGGTTGACGCGGGTGGCAGAGACTGTACAGGCACTTCTGGAGCGGGCCCCCCCAAAACAGCACCACCACCACCATCACCAGCAGCAGCAGCAGCAGCACACGGCTGCCGTGTAATGACCCTCGAAACGGTGTTGCTTTTCCCTTGGCCAAGCCGAAGAACTCCCGGATGTGGCTGCTGGTGCGCGGTGTCCAGGCGCGTGGGCCACATGACATTCGAAGGAGGAAATAAATGTGTCCAGGATTCCTGACGGGAATGGGTTTGCTTCATTTCTCCACTTTTTTTGGAGGTCACGAAAAGTTTCCATGGAACTTTTTTAGGAAAAGAAAAATACCTTTGTAAAGTGAGTTTTGTTGGGGGGGGGGCAGGATGGGAGGATACAATTTTGCTGGCGGTTGGCTTTGTTTTTAAATGTGATTATTGTGAAATGAGGGCAGTGGTGGAGTTAGAGAAGGGAGGGTGGCCTCTTACGCCAGAAACATGTTGGAAAACGGCAAGGTGCCCGATTACGTTGAATTCAGAGAGCAAGCATCTTTTTGCAGTGCCTTCCTTTCCTTCTTCGAGGTCTGCACATGAGAACTTTCTGTGGTGGACTGGACTTGTGTGAACCACTACTCCCCCCCCCTTCACCTCGCAAACCTACACACTCCTCAGCGAGTAGTTGTTAAGTATCCATCTAATAGTTAGATGGTTTTCTGTTTTCCCATTCACTCCCATTGGGTTTTGTACAGTCGGACTGTTTTTTTTCAAGGGGTCTTCCAGTGGCACCCTTTGTCTTGAGAAATTAAGCATGACACGGCTCTGCTACGAATGAAGTCGGGTTCCGGGAGAGGTACCTTCCTGGTAGGATGAATTTCGTTTGCATGGTTGACTCAACCCACAAATCCTTCACAAGCAAACGGAGCCTTTGACCTGTACGTATCAAGCCCTGGGATTATCAAGAGACCGTGGAGGCCAGTTGATACTGCAGGGAAAAATAGGTGCTCTACATTATACATTTTTTTCATGTATAATGCTTTTAATGCTGTTTTAATACTTCTGCACCCTCCCTCCACATGTTTTTAAATAACTTTTCAGAATATGCAGATGAGGCTGAAAATAATATTAGCACTTGTTTTAAAAAGAGATTGCCCAGTAAATCTATACGTGAGATGCAATATGTTTGGATCTAATGTTGAATCTGCCACACAACATATTGGCTCTACGTGTACCGGATTTCACCTGTTGGCAAAAGGACAGGCTTGGGGCATTTCCATCACGTTCCTGCTCTAGGACAAATTCTGGAGCATGTGCAGTTCAGGAATCCTGTTTGGAGTTCAGGCACGTTCTCATCTCCGCACACGTATTAGGAATCAGTTTGCCAGTTGGAGTCACTTGCAGGTACTGGGGGTCATGAGTGAAGTCGATGCTAATCCCATGACAAAGAAGCAAAGTAGGCTATTAAGAGGCTGCTCCTACAGGCAAATCACGCAGCCATTTCAGGAGTATTTTCTCCTGAATGTACGAGAGTCAGTGTAGCGTAACGGGTAGGATGTTGGACTAGAGGGCTCTGGACGTTCAGGTTCAAATCCCTCCTCGGCCATGGAATGCCACTAAGAGGTGGCAATGGTAAAACCACTCAGCTAACTCTCATATCTTGGAAACTCTTATTAGGTTTGCCATTAAGGAAGTTGACGGCACATGCCACCTGCCCCATTTTTAGGGTAATGCAATCCTTCAGTCATTACCGGGAATGTGAAATCTCTTGCTGGCTCTCTGCATTCCGCTTCTTCATCAAGGTGCACTGCTATAAATACTGTTTCTTGGTAGCATAAAAATGCAGATGAAATGGAAAGAAGCAGATGTGTTCAGTATATGAAGTGTTTGTAGAAAGTGGAAGATACAGCAGTTTTATGATAGATGGGAGAAGGAGGAGGAGGTAACAGAATAGTTTGTCTATGGCAACTGATGGGAAAAAATCTAGAAACAGAACTGAAGACTTAGCCGTGTTTTTCCCCTCTGGGGATGCAGCTCTCCTCCCTAAATACATCAATAATGTCCCATTGAAATGAAGTGTGAATGCAGTAGGACTCTTGTATCCAAAGGATCAGTATCCACAATGTCACTTATCCACGTCTGAAAATATAAAAAATATTGAAAGAAAATCCCCCAAAAACTATTTTCACATGTATTACTACAACTGGCCACTAGACGGAACTGGAGACCATGCTATGAATACTTGTTAGTGAAGAATACCCTAGTTAGTGGCACTCTCCAGTGGCCATTTCTGGTACTGCATGTCAAAATATTTTTTTCCTTTGTGGCCCTGACTTTGTCTGAGAGATTATCCTCAAACATTCTGATTACTTTCTTATACTTCCTCTTCCTCTCCACAGCCACCCATTCTTTAATTTTCATTTTCATAGCCTTTCTACTGAGTTCTAACCTGCCAGTTTCTTGTTTTTTAATCCTTATGTTTATGATGTTTGTCCCTTTGCTCTTCTAAAATAGACGAAGAATATTTTTAATGAAATCGTTGTTTGTGGCTTAAACAATGGTTTTCTCTTAGCCATGGCCACCTCACGTTGTCCGTGGCCAGTGTTGCCTCAAGACTCTTTGGTCCTCTTGCAAATATTGAGCTCGGTGTCATGCGTGCGGTTTTGCAGAGAAGAAACCTGGCACCAGAGACAATAGAAACGTTGGGAGTTTTCTCCCTCTTCTCATTGAAAGGTTTGTGGTATTGTGGACCTTTGACCAGGGTAGCAAGATCCAGTCCTTTCACAGGTTTCTGGAACGGTATCATGAAATTCTTCCAAATTCTCATTTCCATCTTTGGGGCTGCCCCTTTGAATCACTGTGTAGCTTCTCTTTCCATCCCCAGGGTTTAGCAGCCTGTGGAGTCCACGTCTGTGATCTGGTTTCATGTATAAAACCAAGCTCTACTCAAAATGCGAGGAAGGAAACTTAGATGAGCGGGATTGGTACAAGATGGACATTTCATGAAGGTTGATATTGTATTCCCACACTCTTGCACTTTTTCCCCCCAACACGAAACCATCTTGGATCTTCATTCAGGTTGCCAAAAAGTGCAAAAGCCACTTGACTGTTTCCTTAAGCACATGTGCTCGCTCATTCTGCTGGTTTGAAAAAGAGAATCGATCCCTTACATGGACCAGCCATGTGGCCGAAGTCCGGTCCAGTTCTTACCAAGGCAGAAAGAAAACACGCACACCTTTTCAACTCAGATGATTAACCGGGGGGGGGGGCGCTCATCCGCCTCTCTACCTTAAAATAACAGAAACCCTCCTCCACTATGATGTGCGAGAAGACTACCTGAGATGGGCAGGCGGTCTTGTGCACAGTTGCAGGGCCCCCTCCTGCTAGAGGCTGAGCCCGGCTGCTCCTGCAAGGGGAACGGGCCACGCCACAGAGATGAAATTGGGGCTCGTTGGTGCTCAGGCACTTAGTTAATGACCGGGATTTAACTGCCAAGAAACAAAAGACGCTGTTCAGGAGTTGTGGCTCTCGTGCAAATGAGTACGCGGGCCTTCATCACCTTTCTTGGAGGTGCTGAGTTTTTGTGTCACTGTGTCAGTTTGACTTTTTAGTTTTAGGGTCCCATGAGGACAAAAGCTCCTCGTTAAATACATATTAAGGTCATTAAAAAAAACAACCAGATCTTTTCATTTACAAATGTATTATACCAAAACAGACAGCAAATCCACAACCACTTGAGTTTTCCATTGCAAGTTTTAAACGACTTGGGGATTTTTGTGTTTTGTTATATTTATGTGTAATTTTTCTTATATTCAGTGAGAATGTTTTTTTAAAGAAAAGTGTATAAAATTCTATTTTGTGTGTTTGAAGCAACGATAGAGGATTGTCTTTCTCTTCTGGGAATTATCATGGGGCTAGGCATCCCATTCTGGGCCTAGCGCTTGCTGCGAGTTTTGGGTCCACGCTCGCCATCCGCCGTCCATGCTGGCTGGCAGTGACAGGGAGCAGTTGTCCGGCCCATTGGTCTCGGACAACTATAAATACCACTAACTGTAGCATCATGAAGTTGGAAGGGGGGGCTATAAGGCCATTGAATCCAGCCGCCCCTTGGTCCGTTGTCTTCAACCAGATGATTCTTTCTCCTAGAAATTGATTCTCCTAGTTTTATCGTGCAAGAGATTGGTTCACTCAAGGCCCCTCCAGCAGATAACTTGGCCATCTTGATGGCTCTGGCTCCTTTCTCTCCTTTAGAGTGAAGAGCATGGTGCTTGTTGTTTTGGAAAAACTGTACATATCCTTACAGGCTGCTGTCTGGAGAGCAATAAAAACAGAGTAGACCCTTGCTCTAGATGGGCGGGGTATAAATCTAAATAAATAAATAAAAATTTAAAAATCCCTTGATTGCATGCATGGCCATTTTGTCTTGCATGAGGGGGTTTACTCCTGCAGCAAACATTCAGTAGGCAAGTTCAGTCTCCCTTGCTTCTCCACTGAAGACTGGCTGTGGAGTCATGCATTCATCAGAATTCATGGTACCTTTAATTAACTCNCAAATAGAAAACAAGGAAGCTGCATTCAAGGCAGACATGCAGGGCTGCTCTCAGCAACCCTGACATCAGGTGTACAGGAGCCCCCCCTCCCAATATCTGCAGGATCAGTATTTGTTGATTCACTTATTCACTGTCTGAAAATATAAAAAATATGAAAAGAAAAATCCTAGAAATAATATATATATATTTCTAAAGGTGAAGTTACCAGGGCTGGCCACCAGAGGGAACCAGAGACCAGGCTGTGTCTACCATTCCTTATTCAAATAGTGTTCACTTGAATCCACATTTTTCAACATTCGGGGTTGGAACCGATTCCCCATGGCTACGGGGGTCCTACTGTATTTGTACAACTGAGGAAAAAAATGAGTTTCTCCCCCACTCCTGACTGCCTTTTAGGAGACTTGAGAGCATTGCACTCCTTTGTCATCAGAGAAAAAACAAACGCCCAACACGCTCAGTCTCGCAGGAACCACCTCTGTGCAAACCTCGACAGAAGTTCCTTTAAAAGGTGTCCAGAGAAGGCATTCTCTTGAAAAGCCGGCCTCTGGTTCGAGTGGCGCTTTGGGCAGGAGCTATTTTTCAACCGAGCAGCTGCAAAACATCTTAGGGTGCCTTTCTGTGGCCATTCAGTAATAACTGGTGCTATTGTGTCTCAGAATCCTTTTAAAAATTCTGCTTTTGAAGCGGTTGAATTTTCCAAGTTCACAGTTTTGATGGTGGTGTGTTTTTTGTTCTGTTTTGTTTTGAAGTATGTTTTGCAGAGCTTTGGAAATCTCCGGCTCACCTACTTTTTCTCTTGGGTTGGTACCTGGCAGAATGCCTAGAGGAGGAAGACTTTCACTCTTGTTGTTTCTGCAAACTGTACACGTGTAATTAGTAGTATAGATAAAAGGATTTTTTTAAAAAAACAACAACGTTCTTTCTTGTATTTGTATGTCTGTAAATACATTCCATAGTTTTCAAAGGCTGTCAAGTATCAACATCATAATATCCTATACTTTTATTTTAAATTGCCTGTATATTCCTGGTCAGTTTCTAGCACACATGATATAAATTCCAAACCTGGGTGATTTGAAATAAAGGCTAAAGCTTTAAAAAACCACACTTGCGAACAGAAGCATTTATTTTGAAGCAGGTTTGTCCACTCAGGTCTCCTTGGGGGAGGGGGTTGAATCCTGAGCACAGAGGAAGGAGGTAGTTTTGCTCCCGTTTTTACTTCATTACAGTAGCTTGTTATCATATTTTCTAATCTGTGTTGCTGCTCTGGATGATTAGGATGTCACTTTACAGCGAAGTTTCCCCATCCTGTGTGTTCATGTATTTCTTCTCGTATTAAGTTGGCCAGATAATAAGGCCCTGTCTTAATAAGACCACTGACCACCAAGGATCTTTCTTGGAGCAAGTCTCTGTGAAATGAAAGTTACAATGGTAATGTTGAGCATACAACCGTATTTTTCCATGTATAGGACTATACTTTTCTCTGAAATCTTTAGACTAAAAATTGAGGGCCGCCTTATACACAGACATAAGCTGAGGCGAGAACAAAAAAAAGTGGCAGGGAAAGCAGGGATCAAAGTGATCCTGCAGGGCTTTGATCCCTGCTTTCCCCTCCACTTGCTAAACCTTAGCAAAAGGAAAGCAGGGATCGAAGTGCTGCAGGATTGCTTTCATCACTGTTTTCCCCTCTGCTTGCTAAGTCCCATGGGGCTTAGCAAAAGGAGGGGGGAAACGATCAAAGCAATACCATGGCTGTATAAGGGGGAAAGGGATCAAAATGATTGTGCATTTGTGGGACTGCTTTGATCCCTTTCCCCCTTCTTTTGCTAAGCCCCACAGGGCTTAGCACAAAGGGAGAAAGCTGGGATCAAAGTGATCCTGCAGCACTTTGATCCCTTTCCCCCTACATTTGCTAAGCCCCACTTAGATTTCTTGATTTGGGGTTAGAAAAGTAGGTGGGTATCTTATACATGGGGCATCTTATACACAGAAAAATATGGTAATTTAATATGGTTGCATCCATACTTCTCTAAATAGGAACTTACTTGTGAGATATACTAAAAGGAAAAAAAAACAACTCTCAGGGTGACATTTGCCTGTACACTGGTTTGCTCAACAAAGCCTCGTCCAGGTCTTGGGAGAAGAGCATAGCACTTCAGAAATCTGGATTGTTTTCAGCTTCTTCAATATTAGGGTGGGAGTGAAGGCAGGGCACACCTAAATGGCACCCGACTCTGGAGGACTTGATATAAAATGTTGGTGTCTGCCTTCTCACTCCCACAAGAGGAAGTAACCTGCAAGCTTTGGGGCTGTTTTGCTGTCTGGAATCCAAGCAGCAGCAGCAACAGATCTAAAACCAGGCCACCTCAATAGGGCAACCTTGAGTTCTAAGTGCTTGCTTTCAATTCTCTCGGCACATTCATAGATTTGGCCTGTTCCCCTTTCCCACTGCACCCTCTTGCCGAAAACCAGAAAGCAAGGGTTGCTGGAAGCAGACCTTTGGCCCATCACTTCTTCTTCTTTTTGGCTCCGGGCTTTCCTTTGCCTTTCTTCCCTTTTTCTTTGGTTGTGGGCTCCTCTTCCCAGAGTTTCTTGAGGAGCTTGTACGGCCCAAGGAACCGGCGGACCATCATGCCTCTCCACCAGGCCTGCAGCTGAAAGCAAAAGAAGAGGGAAGAGTGGTGTGAGAGCAGTTTTTGGCACCTGTGTTTCCTTTCCCGCCACTCAGCAAGCTTTGCTAAAATGATGCGCTGCCAGGAATAACAGTTGCACAGAAGCCCGGCTTTCCTTGATTTCCCCCCCCTCCCCCTCCAGCTAATGAAGTAATCTGGCTTGAATCCAGCACTCCATCAGCTGCCTGTCTGCTCTGTGCCAGCTACAGCATCCGAGACCCAATTTTATCCGACGGCCGACGGCTCGTGTCTACAGAAAAGCCCTGCCTTGGATGCACTCCAGAGAAGCATCTTAGTGGGGAAATCCTGGCATCTGTTGACAGAAAACCCTTCAAGGTGTCCTTGGACAACCCAGGTCGGAAGACCAGCGGCACTGCCTGGGAGAGTAAACGAGCAGGTGAAGGTGGCTAGGATGGGTCTCGGGTCTTGACAAGGTCAAAGAAAGAGCCGGTGGAGACTGCTGCTTGGTTCCCTACCTTTCCCCATGTCCGTGAACATTAAGGTGACCCCAATTCAATATAAAGCAGATCTGGCCTGTCCTTCCCTTGTTGGAAAGGTATACAAATATATAAGCTTATGTGGGCACCGCTGGGACTGAACCGCTCTAGCTAGGAGGGGTTGTGGAGGAGGTGGTCATGGCATGGTCTCCGCAGCAACATGTTCAGGACTCACGCCTGCTCTTTCCTTCTGTGGTTCTCGCTTTCCCATCCTGCAGCAGATGGGGTCCAGCGCCCTGGCCACTCGCTGGATAGCAGCATTATTTTTCACGGGGTAACCTGTCCTAGTGCCTCTTGTATCGCACGAGGGTAGCTCAGGGATTATCCTGGAGGAGGTTGTTTAGGAGGAGATTCTAAGTTTTTAAAAAAATGCCTGATTTGGAGGCTGGAGTTGGAGAGAGACCCAGATGGCTACCCAAAAATTGCGATGACCCAAGGTTTTGGAGTGGAGTGCGATAAGTGATAAGCAAGGTAAGTCTTGCCTTAAGGCAACCCAGCAAGGAAAGTGTCTAAAGAAAAGAGGCTGTTCTGGACTTGAAAGTGGAAGTTCTCTGTTGGGAGTCTGAAGAGCAGACGTACGGCTTTTGGGCAGCAAGCTGCCCTCGGCCTGACTGCCAGCAAGGGAACATTTCAGGTCTCTGGTTGAGAGCAACTCTCTCTCTCTCTCTCTGCTGGTTCCCAAATGGATTGAGAGGAAGGAAGAAGAGTGGGCGGTTCATGATGGGAAAAAAGTTCCTCCAGAACCGAAAAGAAACAAGGAGACACAATATCCTTTCCCCAGTTTCCTCCTGATTCCCATTTGGAGAGCCGTGGCAGGGTAGTGGGTAGAGCACTCCTATTTCAACTCGGGGACCCCTGGGCTCATCTCCCTGCTTAGCACTGGGGGGCAGCAATGGCAAAACCACTCGACATCTTGCATACGTTGAAACCCCTATTAAGATAGCGTAAGACAGGATAATGTGACAACATACTATCCCTATTGGAGCTCTGGCTCTCCCAAGGTCAGGGTGCCTCTCAGTCCCTCTCACCTTCAGGATGCTCTTCATCTCCAGAGCATCCTGTTCGACTTTCTTCCGTGCTTGCTCCTTTTCCTTCCGGTCCTCAATGATTGCCTGCTCACATATAAGGCACTGCAAAAAAAATAATAAAGCAAAGGCACAAGGAACATAGGGGTCGGGCATCAAATGCTTCTTGAAAAACAAGAAGCTTTTCGGAAAAGCCAGGGGCTTCGTTGACCTTCCTCATGGACTTCTGTCCTTGAGAGGCTTCCTCTTCCTTACCTGCTTGGCCAGTTCCTGCAGGGCTGCTTGGTCAGCGGCTCGGGAGGATTTCAGGGCATTCAGGGCTTGTTGCTTGGCTTCCGTGTCCTTCTCGTACTTCTCCATCCAGTACTCCAGCTTCTCTTCAATGCTCTGTTTGCAACAGGTGCAAATGGGTCAATATTTAGGCCCCTGATGGTTCCAACACATGCTTTTGCTGTATTGTGGGAGGACATGATCCTTGAGGACTTGAAGAATGTGCTCGTTATGTATTCCTACCTTTCCCCATGTCCGTGAACGTTAAGGTGACCCCAATTCAATATATAGCAGATCTGGCCTGTCCTTCCCTCATTGGAAAGGTATGCAAATATATAAGCTTCACTATTTCAGCCCCAAGAGGAGTGTCCTTTCCAGCAGGCACTTGGGAGTTGTTGCCGGTGGCTTCTCCGTCTATGTCAAAAGTGAGAAAAGCTTCACACGTGCAGGCAGGACTGCTGCTACCCCCTCCCTGCTCTGTCCAGCCACTAAGGCAAACAGAGAAGATTTCTGCATGAAAGTGCTGACCTAGCAGGCCCTTCTGTGCCTAAGGATCTCACGCACGGAGCTGTAGTACTACAAGTGTTTTTCGCCCAGTGCGGTTGGGTTTTCATTTTAGCAAGGAGAGTTCAGCTTTGGCTATTTGGCTAATACTTAATTTCAAGGGCCGAAGGGGTCCTTTTGGAAAGCGGCCTGGGCCGTCACATTAAAAAGCCACAGTAACCCCTGGTTAAGAAACATAAATGGGAAAGACCGGAAGGAGGAGCGGGTTGAGAGCTTTCCAGATGGGACATCCTGGGTGATTCCCTGCACCCCATCTTCTTCTCAAATGAATGACTTGCTGTCTTGAGACCTAATTTTCATTGAAAACAGTCCACCTGCCTCTGGGCTTGTGCCTAGGAGCAGCCTGGCTCCAGAGGCACCAGGTAGGCACCTCAGACGGCAAAAGGTGGGAGGGGAAAGCTTTGAAAGCAGTGGCAAAGTGTTAAAAACAGGTTTGTGGGGCAGAAAATCTCCCCTGCCTGTTTAGCCAGGTGTGATGATTCCCGTATCCACTGCCAGCATTTGTGCAAGTTTCAGCTTCTGCCCGTGGAAGGCAGAAGGCCATCTTCTTCCATTTCAAGCAGCGAAAGGTCTTGGAACATTTTCGTAGCTTTTATGTCTGCACACGGGCACACCTTCAGAGCCCAGCATTCCTAGGGCTAGAAAAGTAGGTGGCCAAGAGGGCCAGCCTTCTCTTCCTGGGCTGCTGGTTTTGTACGGCTTCCTGTAGTCGTAACAGGCAGACTTGTAAGGGTTTGCCGCAGAGCTCGCACCGCAGCCCAGGCAGCTACCACACACTCTCCTGCAGTGGCAAATGAAAATAAGCTTTTCCTTTACAGCAAGACATTCCCCACGTTTATGGTTTACAAGGGGAACCGTGCTCCTAGAAGCGACCAGCACGTGTGCAGGCAAAGGAGGTGCGTATTCCTTGTTTTAAAGGAGAGGCCACAAAGAACAGCTGCTGTTGCTGCTCCAGTAAATGAGCAGCCAGAAGGTGGGATGTAACCACGGGGTGGAGGTGTGGGGGGGGATGATTTGGGGCTTGTGTACCTTCGGCCCCCTAGTGCTTGTCCACCTCTGCCCTTTGAGGCTTGCCATGCAGGAAGTGTTTTAATCAACACAAAAATCTCATGAAAACAGGAAGATGCAAAAATGAAGAAAGCTTTAAACCAGATTAGTAAATGTTGTCAGAGTCACGTGAGCACTGAATAGTTTGGAGAAGAAAAATAAAGTTTCGGGGTACCGTTTAAGGAGGGGGAGGCACAGTGAGCAGAAGAGTCTTCTATAAGAACAAGTTAACCCACCACTTGCTGCTGCTTAAGGAAATTCTCAATGTCCATGTGGACTCTGATCTCCTGCTCAGCTTGGTTCAGAAGCTTCTGCAAGAGAGAGAGAGAGAGAGAGACACTCAAACGTTCTTTGACACAGATGGATCTTAAGCATGGCGTAGTGCTGGATTCGCCCTTCTAAGAAACTCAAGTATATGTCATTCTGCACCAACGCTGAAGGCTGAGATTCTAACCCAGAGAGAACACATTTGCAGCAGTGTTGTCTGGAGATGGCATCTTGAAACAGCATCTTCAAATCCACCCCTTCGCAGCTTACTGCTCTTGCAGGAACAGAAGAGGTTGCTGGAAGCAACCTTGCTCGGTCATAAGTGAGAATGTCATGCAAGTACAGCAAACCAGGTCTGTGAAGGGCCACAGAACTGACATGGTGGTTACGGCCTTGCTGTCATCAGCTATCACACAAAACCTTCCGAGCAACTGTAGAATATTTATTAGCCATGAGATCTAAACAGGGCCTCTGTTTTCCAGGGGCATAATGGAGCCCTAAATACTGAATGCTGGCAGAATCCTACTGCAAAATACTGTGTGCGCATAAGGGAGAAAACACAAGCCATTTTCTTAGTTTTCTGGCTACCAATCACATACCTGAACACGCAGTGCAGCGCACAACCCGGATGCATCTACACATGCAACAGGTATTTAGAATCATGGTGCATGCCAGTTAAATCAGTTTTTGTTCATGCTGCAAAATCTCAGAAGAGTTTTCTGCCGGCTGCGCACGGTACAGGGGAAGCCGGCTGTTCTCGTCTCCTACCTGTGAGCATCCCAGAACAATCTCGCTGGCCAGTGGGAGGGAACGGTTACGTGTGAAGCTCCCAAGGGTAGCTCTTCGGCTTGCGACTGGCTAGTTTGAGCCTTGAAGGCCCAATGTCCCGGCACCCTCAACTCTCATTTTGCCCTGAATGTTCTCCGCCTGGGCCGATTTTGGCTGCAAAGCCGGGTCAGGTCCGCTGATCTCCTGGTCAGGCTGGGAAAGGATTCTTCCTGAAATGCTTGCGCACCAGCGCTGCCAGTTGGGACGGGCCAAATGGACCAAAGGATGGACACCATATGAGGTGGCGTCCTTTCCTGGTGCCTCTTGGTTGCTGCCAGAAGTGGCTGTGCAGATGGCCAGACCATGCAATTGGTGAAAGCCTGTCCAGTCCCTGTCTCTCTCTCTCCCCCACCCCACACTGCCCAGACATATTTTAAAAGCCACAGGTCAAGAGTGCTCACCTCAATCTCATTCTGCAGATCATTTTCAGCCTCGGCACATTTCTTCTGCACTTGAGCCACCTGGAGCTCCGTGTCTTTCTTGACAAAGCGATTCTCCATGTCCGTTTTGGCCTTCATTTCTTGCAGCTGGTCCTTGAGGTAGGCGATCAACTCATTCCGGTTCTGCAGAAGGAAAGAAGAGGAGTCAGTGGAGGAGGGCTGGAAACCAGCAGGGCTCTGTGGGCTGGTCCTTTATTAGGACAACGTTCAGAATATGGCCAAAGAGCCCGAAAAACCCACAACAACCCTCAGATCCCAGCTGTGAAAGCCTTCGAGAATACAGAGCTAAGCTTCCCTTCTGCCTTCCTTGGCAGGGCATGAATAGACCCACGTCCCAGATGTTTCCCTAAGGGAGACCCGGGCCTTGTTCTCACTGACAACAATCGGGCATCTCTCTGGAATGCGCCACTGAAGACTGGAGTCAGGGGCTGGTGTCACTGAACAGCCATCCCTCCCGTTTTCCTTTTTTTTGGGGGGGGGAGCCCTTTTCCAGATGTGCGGAGGGATCCGTTAGGTGGGAAGGGGTTAATGAAGGAAGAAGCTTTCACAGTCAGGGACCACGCCCCCAGCAACCTGAACACGGACTCAGACTGGCTGTCTTGGGGATCGCTCTCCTGATGCCAGTGGGCCTGGCTCGGCCATTTAGGTCTAACCGGGTGGTCACTGGGCTTGTGATGGAGAAAACGGCTTAAACATTCCATTATGACATTCCTCAGTTTTAAAATAATGGTGTGCCTGCTTCAGGAGGCAGAAGAGGACGAGCTGCTCCAAGAGTTGAGGACAGAGTACTGCATAGCCTGAGTTGCAACGTGAGGATAACTGGACCTTGGGGATCTCCCGTGGCAGGCTTCAAGGACCAGCCGTCTCGCTCCCTTTTAGTTCAGTGCGAAATCAAGGGGGGCCGGTGGCCTGAAGCTCACCTCCACCTCGTAATCCTTTTCTTTCTTGACATCGCTGATCTGCTTCTGGAGACACTTCACCTTCTTCCTTCCCATCTCTTCCCTAGAATTTGGGGAAGGGAAAGTGGGGCAGAAAGAAAAATTCTCAGGTTTTTTTTGGATCCCATCAAGGCAAGAAGTTACCTTTAAGTTTCTTTTTTAAAAGTGGGAGTGGGGGGCATTCTGGAGTTGTTCCAGAGTTCAGAAAAGCCTCTTCCTCCTCTTTGTCAGCTGGTACCCTGTTTCCCCGAAAATAAGACAGGGTCTTATATTAATTTTTGCTCCAGAAAATGCATTAGGGCTTATTTTCAAAGCATGTTTTATTTCTTTCTTGTACCAGCATCTACATTTATTCAAATACAGTCATGTTCCCATCTTCTGGTTGCTGTACAAGGGTGGAGGGCAGGATTTCACTGAACTGGGGCTTATTTTTTGGGTAGGGCTTATATTATGAGCATCCTGAAAAATCATACTAGGGCTTATTTTCAGGTTTAGTCTTATTTTCAGGGAAACAGGGTAGCAAATTGGCAGTTATTTTATCCCTCTTAAATATCAGGAAAGTTCTTGTCACGTGCTCCATAGCACTGAGATAGTCTGCTTAAAAAAACTGGCTGCCTTCGTAAAAAGATCACAGAGGTGACAAAGGTGGAAATCTGTAATGTTTCCCATTTGCAGATCATAAACGAGGTGAAGAGGTGATCCTGCAATACAGAATGGGCAAAGACATCTGTGTGCAAAAGACAAAGCCTAACATATTTCAGCTACAACGTCCATTGGCCACTCCTGTCCTCATATTTCAGATTCATTTTTTCCCCTTGTGACAGAACATCCATTCATATTCTGATAAGACAAACCCTTCCAAAAATCTGATGAGCCATTTCCATGTGTCAGGAAAGCCTCTCCTGTCAGTCTCTCCTTTGGAAGGACTTCCCAGCAAGAAGATACAGATAAAGCAGGAAGCGGGGGGTGGGTGGGAGAGAGGATCTGGATCCGGGGTCTTGCATTATTTTTACAGCTTACTTAGGAAGGTTAGATTTACACATACACCCCTTGAGGTTCCAAATAATCCACAAATCAGAACACTAAGGAGTGATCTTCTGGGAGAGGACAAAGGGAGAGGTGTGACTTGTACTGGAGCCGTGTGCTTCTGTCACTAACAGACTGCACGAATGAGCTGAGAGGAGGGAGAGGGCCCCTTCTTCTTGTCTCCATCAGGAGCCGTGTGCCAGATGCCCCTTATTCTAAACGGATGCTCCTTTTTTCAACAGACCCAACCACCACCAAATGCCACTGAAGCCCCATGTCATAAATTTTCCAGAACGAAGTAGTCTGTCCCCCACCAACGTTGTGTGTTTCTGAATTAAATTCTTACATTTTGTTGAGATCAAAACTTTTCTCCACATTACGTGTGTTAGGAACCTCGTAGCGCGGTGGTTAAACTGGGGTACTGCAGTCAAGACTCTGCTCGTGATCTGAGTTCAATCCCAGGTATCTGGCTCAAGGTTCACTCAGCCTTTCATCCTTCTATGGTTACTAGATTGAGTACCCAGTTCGAGGGGGGGAGAGATGTGTAATTAAATTTTAAACTGACCAGACAGTGCTTTAAGCAACACGGGGCAGTCTATAAGCATCACTCTGCTGCTCAGTGCTTCAATGTATTCAGCATGGAACCCCTCTCTCACCTGTTTGTTCCACTTTTACTCCCTGGAAGCCATGACAATGCAGTTGTTGTCTAAAGCGGGATCCTATCTGGAGCGAAGGGGGCCAGGTGCTGAGGTCTGGGCCTCTCCTCCCAGTTTAAAAAAAAGAAAAGCGGAGAAAGTTCCCTGGCCAGAGTTCTGGAGAGCCATAGGAAGCTGGCTGAAGCAAGCCTAGCCTAGCTGACCTGGCCCAGGAGGTGGCCGGCCGGCCGCTGCGCCCAGCATAAAACTCTCACCTGAGAACTAGGCTTTGGGCATTGGCCTTTTTCGCCTTTTCCAGATCCATTGCAAGCTGCAGAGTGTGAAAGGTTCCCAGTGTCAGCAGTTCATCTGTTGTGTCCTCGATGATGTCACACGCCTGCTGCCTGTTTTGAGGAGGAGGAGGAGGAGGAGAGGTCAGCTGAAGAGGAAGGAGCGGGTCCCCATTGAACAGCCCTGGCCCACCTCTTCCGCCGTGCCCAGAGTGGCCTGGCCAGAGACACACACACCCCAAGGAGCTCACGCCCCCCCCCAGCCTGTTTGGAGGAGGAGGAGGAGGAGAGGTCAGCTGAGGAGAAAGAAGCGGGTCCCCATTGAACAGCCCTGGCTCACCTCTTCCGCTGTGCCCAGAGTGGCCTGGCCAGAGACTCCCCAAGGAGCTCATGGCCCCCCCCAAAAGGCAAAGGGGGCTGTCTTGGATCTCCTGAACAAACCTTGCTGCCCAGGATGAGAAGCACAGTTGAGAGGAGGAGGAGGAGGAGAGGTCAGCTGAGGAGAAAGAAGCGGGTCCCCATTGAACAGCCCTGGCTCACCTCTTCCGCTGTGCCCAGAGTGGCCTGGCCAGAGACTCCCCAAGGAGCTCATGGCCCCCCCCAAAAGGCAAAGGGGGCTGTCTTGGATCTCCTGAACAAACCTTGCTGCCCAGGATGAGAAGCACAGTTGAAACGGAAAGCGTCGGAGAGGTGCTCTGGGTGTAGGGTTCATGTTTTGAGGGAACTCTCAACCCTCCGAATGGCAGGACCCCTCAGCCAGCTCGACCGCCAGGCATAGCCAAGCAACAGCGAAAGCTGTCGATTAGAGCACCGTGGGGCTGGTTAGGGGGTGTCTAGACCAGGAAACAGATGGGGAGGCACAGGGCACCATCCACAAGAATGAGATAAAGGACCTTGTTTGAGAAGCACCACTCCTGTTCACTGAAAAGAAAGCAACCCACAAGACCTTCCTGTGAGTTCTGTGCCTTGGACTTGCGCAGCGCAAGGAAGGGGAGAGAGAGAGCTCTCAGGGAATAATGGAATAATAAAGTTGGAAGGGGGCCTATAAGCCCATCAAGTCCAACCCCCTTCTTCGGCTTTTCTTTGTCAACCCCCGCAACACTGGACTTGTCCGTGTGGTGGATTCAGAGCATTATTTAAAAAGTTCTGCAGACCTCCAAATGCTGTCTCCTGCTGTCTTCCTCTTCTAGGGCTTATTTGCCTGTTCCACACACACACACACACACACACACACACACACACACCCCTGCTGCGGGAGGGGGATAGGGAATGGGGGGGCTAGAAAGGGTGTTCAGTCCCTGTTGTAGAAGCCCCAGTGTTCAGTGGCTCTAAGCTGCCCCATGCCTTCCAGCTTCCATCAGAATCAGCGGGCCCCTGCACCCCCAGACCAGGAGGAATGCCTACAGAGTTCCCCTCTGGCTGTCCCACAGGTTTTCTTTTGGAGTCTCTCTGGTGTTGGGCCCCAACATGTCCCTCACCCCGCTCTCCAGCTTTCTGGAAGGACCTTAAGGCTTGCCGGGCTCACCTGTCAGCTTGAACCTTCTTGAGGCGCTCTGTGGACAGAGCGCTCTGTTTTGTCGCCCTGGTGAAAAGGTGGTTGGTCCTCTTCAGCTCGCTGCTGGTGTCCTCCAACTGCTGGCCCAGTTCCGTGATCCGGCCAAGCTCCATCGGGGCCCTGGCTTGGCTCTCGGCCCTGGCATCCATCAGGCTCTTGTACGTGGTGGTCAGTTGCTTCTGGGTCTCAAGAACAGCCTGGATCTCCAGGTCATTGAGCTGCAGACGAGCAGAAAAGAACAAAGGAGACAAACTTGGCAGAAGGGAAGGGTTTGATGCGGCCGGAACGAAGCACCAGGGGAAACGTCTCTTGGGCCACAGGCTTCCTTCAGTTGGTGCTCGAAGATGCCCCCAAGGCCCTCCTTGCAGAGGGCCATCATCACTGCCCAGCCACCGCTAGGAGGAGCCACCGGGACTGGACAGCAGCAGCAGCGGTGGTGGAAGGAGAGGCTGGCAGGGAATCTGCCATACACAACAGCGAAGGTGTCTAGGACAACACCTTTCCCAAAAGTGTGAGAGATACTTACATCACTGACATCTTTCCTTCCTTCGTATGAAAGGGGCATGATGTAGCCAAGGATGGCCAGCTGGTCGGTGCAATCCTCCAGGAGAGCAGAATGTCTAACGGCATCCAGAATGGGGAGCCTGGGTGGCTTATTCCTTATCTCAGACTCTCTAGACAAAAGGAAAGAGCGCATTGCATTCATAACTCCTACAAAACCAACCACCATCCAGAATTGGATGCCACCTGAGGAAGGAGAGCCGTTCAGTGTCTCCGCAAGTCCAGCTGTAATGGCCCACGGCAGGAACCATTCTGAAAGGCAGCAGATGGGGGAAGACTGGAGTAAGAGGTCTTTGGTATTGCATTCATAACTCCTACAAAACCAACCGCCATCCAAAATTGGATGCCACCTGAGGAAGGAGAGCCATTCAGTGTCTCCGCAAGTCCAGCTGTCATGGCCCACAGCATGGAACCATTCTGAAAGGCAGTAGATGGGGGAAGGCTGGATCAAGAGGTCTTTGGTATCTCTTGCGTTCCCGGACCAGCTGACAAAACTTCGCTTCAGACATTTTCAGAAGCAGAGATGACCTTCTTAATTATCTACATTTATAGTCCCATCTTCCATCCAACGAGGTCAGGATAGCAGACATGATTCTGCCCCTCTACGTGGTCTTCAAACTAACCCCATAAGCAAAAAAGCAAAGTGCTGCTTATATACTGCCCCACTGCGCTTAAACCACTCTCTGGACAGCTTACAAGTTAATTATGCAAGCCACACATAATTTACTGATTTACTAATTTACTGGGTTAGTTAATTATGCAAGCTACACATTGCTCTCACTCCCAGCCAGCTGGGTTTACTGATCTTGGAAGGATGGAAGGCTGAGTGAACCTTGAGTTGGCTACCTGGGATTGAACCCTGGGTCACAAGCAGTTTTGGCTGCCATGCTGCAGTTTAACCACTGGGCCATGAGGTGTTTCTTATAAGGTAGGTGAAGCGGGGAGAAAGAGATACCGGCCCAAAGTCACTCACTGAGTTTCATTGCTCATATCACAGTCCAACACTAACATTACCGCACAACCTTGGCTCTTAATCCAGTTTGGGCAGAGTGAGCTCCTTAAAAATCAGAAGGGGCTCCTGGGCAGAACGTCACAGCCCCCCTCCTACATTCAGACCACTGCTCCTTAGCTGTCTCTGGCTCGCGAAGAAGCTGTCGCTCAATGACAAAGAACGAGTATCACTGCTCAGGCAGGAGATCTTAAGAGGCGTTAACAACAGGCAGCTGGTTCATAAAGTAATTTCTGAAAATGAATCAGGCAATGCCTGTCAACAGGAATAATCAGGATCCATCCACCCAGATGGAAAAGGAAGAGACAGAGACCCCAAGGCGTGTCCTTTCCACTACAGAAAGACAGAATTGTCCCCTTTTACACCAGCAGTCCCCGGCTGGAGGAGGCAGGGCAAACGGAGCCGCCTAAAGAAGCAGAAAATCAATTTGGAGAAGTTTGTAGACTTTGCCAGCAAGTGCTCTTTGAGTGGGGAGAAAAAACCCAAGGCAGCCGGTGTATGGCTGATCTCTCTCTTGCTCGCTCTCTCTCTTCCACTTTGGAATGAGATCTTCTCACCGTTTCCCTAAGTGTCAGGGGCCACAGAGGCTCCTCCAGCAACTCCATGCTTACTAGTGATGGTGAACTGGCCAAACACTGAACTGTGCTTGCTTGCGGGGTAGGAGGGGGGGAGAAGGAAAGCAGTTACTTACTCCAAGACGGCTCTCCCTCCGAGTTCTGTATCTTGCCTGCACGTCATTTCAAAAAACTCAGAGGGACCCTTTTAGCAGAGCTGACCTTCGTGTCTGGCAAGACCAGCTCTCTGGCCGGGGAGCCCCCATCTTGGAAAAACAGCTGGGGTGCCAGGCCTGCTTTTACCTGGAACCTCAGCCTGAATGGGTGCACAACCCAGGAAGAAAAAGGATCCAGAGGATCTCCAGGTGCTGCGGCCACCACGACTCTTTCTTGCTTCCACTTGGCTATCACAAACTTGATGTGGCACTAGAGGCAGCCCGCGGCTGCTCCCACTCCGTAGGGCCAACTTTTCTTTCCCGTCTTGTGTCCAGCCACGAGAAGAACTTGATCTCCAGAGAGTTAGGGGCCCAGCTGCACCCTGCAGGCAACCCATCCTTAGAACTGGCATCATGGCTTGTGTTCCAGACATATAAATTCAGCAGACTTGAAAATCCAACTTCCAAACTGAACAGCAAAGAACAAACTCCCTTTGCAAACTACAGTAGGTGAGAAAAGTCCCCATTGTGGGAATTGGGTGTCAAAGATTAAGGAATTTCCTCTTCTAATGGTGGCTTATCTGTAACACATAACGGAGCGTAGCCCTTACGCCAGAGAGAAGGGAGGATGGAAAGGAGGAGCTGACACAGCCAGAGGGACCATGTGAGAAATATCGTTTAACACATGGCTGCTATTGGGAGTAGGGCTCTAATATTGGGGGGCCTCCTTGGGAAGGGAGACTTGGGAATGAAGAAAACCGCCAAAGATGGCAAGTCAGGCCCTTTACTCTGAGGCTCCCCTTGGGGCAAACCACCAAAGGCCATGGGGCTCCCTTGAGAAGACCCATCAATTATGCTACAGTTCTACTCCAAGAAGATCAAAGCCATCCCATCATGCATGTGATTTATTAACAGCTTTATTATTGAGGTACACTTCATTACAAATAACTTGTGGGACTTTGCAATTTGTAGCTGGTAACCTCCGTGATCTCCTCAAACCATATTCCTCCCTGTGAAGACATGGGTCTTAAAAACCGCACATGTACGAGGCTCCTTCTCCTCCTCCTCGCTGAGAGTGGAGATGGGCTGACATCCAGGACTAAATAAATGCTGGGTCCTTTAAGTTTAACGGGGTGTTTTGTTTTCATTACTTGTGTTATTTTTATCTTTTGCTACCTAGCCAAAACCTTCCGGAAACATGAGATAACACTTCGATTAATTAAGTCGCTAAACACAGGTAAACAGAACTTGGGCTGCTCTGATGATTTCTGCTGGATAAACAGACAGAGTTCCGACTCCAGTCCTCTGAAGATGCCCATGGCTACAAAGACTGGTGAAACGTCAGGAAGAACAACCTTCAGAACACGGCCAAAGAGCCAGAAAAACCCACAACCATTAGATCCCGGCTGTGAAAGCCTTCGCAAATACACCGACCAACATGAATTCAACGTAACTCTGGGAGGCAGTGGAAGACAGGAGGGCCTGGCGTGCTCTGGTCCATGTGGTCACGAAGAGTCGGACACGACTTAACAACTAAACAACAATATAGGAACCAACTAATAAGGCTACCCCTTCAAAAAAAAAATAAAGACATTTAAACTGTAGTGACCTCTTCTGGTCAGAGGTGATGTGAACATTTAAAGGAAAAAGGCTCGATTTACAGGACTACATCAGTGCCTGGTTTACCTGGAAGGAAGTGCTGGTGCAGTCAATGGGGTTGCACCCTAGGAAGCATATTGAAGACTGCAGCTTAGAACTCTCATATCCAAATAGCCAGGAATTATAAAACAGATTCACATGCTTGGGTTTCAGGCAGGACACTCTCTCTCACACACACCCCTGTTAAAATTGCCCTGCTGTCCTTCCTAACAGTCTGTGCAATATTAGAAATACTGTACTAATGTGCAAGTAACACTGGCCTACAGCCAAAATGTGTCTGAAATAAATGTAGTCGAACTTTACTAATTCTGGGTCACTGAGAACAAAAATGGGGTTTAGAATTGTTGATTGACTCTAGTTTTCAAGATAACTAGATTGGGTAAGTATGACTTGGGAATGGTGGAGGATAAGTGAGTTATAAAGGGAAGGGATAATTGAAATTTAACCAGACCCACATAGTCAAAGCTATGGTTGCCATTATCATGCAGCCCTTCTGTGATACAAAGAGCCAGGGAAGGAATTCTGTTCTGCAGGTCAGCAAAGGGCGGGGGGCTTTAAATGCTCCTCCCTCTTACCATGGATGGCCTCTGTGCTAGTGTTTGGAAGGGCATACCTAAAGCAAGGAAGAAATGGATCTATTAAAAGCAAAGGTGAACAAAACACTTTCAGTGTAGGAGCAGGCAAGTTTAAGGGGGGGGGGAATCTGCTCAATTTAATTCATTATAATATATTCCCCCATTACCTTGCATATTAGTGGTTCCCAACAGAGACTGATAAAGACATGAGAGGACCTGATCCAAAGAAAAACTTCTAAACATGTACCTTAATCAATTCGACTCTCATATGCTCCCATGCAGCCTCTTTCTCCTCCTTTCATTCTTTTTCTGGGGGAATATCCGGGGACCGTGCAGCTGACCCAAGGCCACACAGGCTGGCTCTATTCCCAGGAGGCCCCATGGGGGGAATTGAACTCACAGCCAGAGACCTAAACCATTAAGCTATCCAGCCACGCACCCATTCATAGCAGGCAATTAAGAGATTCAAGACAGGGTGGAACAGAAAAGCATCTGCTTCCTTTGGAGAGAGGTCATCCTGAACCTCCATCCATTTGTGGGTGCAGATCCTACACCCAAGGGGCGTGGGAAAAGGAGATGCTGAAGGTTATGAAGGAGGACATTCACCCGGAAAGAGGCAGGTCCCCTGGTTCCAACCCTTTCCAGCAGGATCTATAGCAGGAGTGGGAAGTGGGCACAAACTACGTGTAGCTGCTCCTCACCAGACTCAGCCAACTTATAAAAATAGCCAGTGGCGTTTCCAGAAGCTGCAAGGAAGCTTACTGGCTATTTAAAGGACCAGTTTTTGAACTTTTGTGCTTTGGGGAAAGAGGGGAGGCATGCATGGCCCACCAAAGTCTGGGAATAGCCACCTCCAGATCCTCACTTGGCTACTCACCCTGCAATAGAGGGAACTCCAGCACTTTGAACTGAGCCTGGAAAGACACTGGGAAAACGTTCCAAGGGAGCGGTGGGAGAACGGGTGCAATGCCGTCACCTCTGTGAAGGAATCCCACGTGACCGCATTTCACCCGAGCAGCTGGACTCTCTAATCCCTCTGCATGTGTAGCTCTCCCACAGAGCATCGTGCAGCCATCCAGTCTGAATGGGACCAGGGAGCAAATGAGAGCCGCCAGACCAACATGATCTTAAAAAGGGTGCTTGTCGGCACAAAAGTGGAATCCAAGCAATGGCAAACTGTCACCAGGCTAAGCGGTGGGCCCGATCCTTCACAGGAACGCAGCCCCATCCAGAACAGGCAGTTCTCTCCAAGCACAGACCCCTTCTGTCCTCTGGGCTGGGATTTAGTCTCGCCTTCCCTCTTGCCCAATGCTCTTATTTGCTTCCTTAGATCAACAGATAGACCAACTGAGTGACAAGTCCCGTTTTTATCTAATAAGAGCACCTCCCCTTCTCCGTTCTGGATCTTTGCCGAACATCTTTCTGTTTGGTCACATCTCATGATGTCCCAGGCAGTTTTATGCATTTATTCATTCCCCCCCATAACTATTTCCCATTTTCATTTTGTGTCCTTCATGGTACACTATTGAGTACCACAGGGGAATTTTAAATACCGCCGAACCCCTGTACCAGCAGGATCCGTATCCGCTGATTCACTTATCCATGGTCTGAAAATATTAGATATTAAAAGAGAAAAATCCTAGAACTACCGTGTTTCCCCAAAAATAAGACACGGTTTTATATTAATTTTTGCTCCAAAAACGCATTAGGGCTTATTTTCAGGGCATGTTTTA